GGTAGTACTTTCCTTTTTGTAAAGTTGAGTATAGCGGTTTTGTGAGGGTTTACAGTTACTTCCTCCTCTTGGACCTCCCATCTACAATGTTTAGAACGTTCGGGATGCTGCATGGGTTGCGCATATGAAACGTTATGCTAGAACTAGAGTATTTTGTAAAATGGAAAATATATACATCCTCTTTATAAAAAAAATATTGAAGTATTCTACAGGGATTTAGGGAAGTTATTATAATATATTGTGAGATTCGAAAGATAAATTAATATGACACACACAGTATGACGCGAATTGTTGAGACTGGGTGGTGAATAATTTAGTGTGTATACAGAATGTTTGCACATCATTCGACGAAGTCCCACGCTAGACCTAGATAATAAAAAATCTATTATATATTAATAGTTATACAGTCATCACTGAATCAAATGTGTCTATAAAATAAAGGCTGTCGGTAAACTTTGACTCATATATGGCTACCTGTTTTAGGCTACAACTACGCTTTAATATTTACCCCTTTAATGGAAAACAGTACAAAATAATAAAACAGAACTGACCTAATAAATAAAACATTTATTTTCATGTGTAAAACCTACTTTAAATAAATTAATTATGATCTAAGTAATTATTATAATGATTATGATTAAATTTATTTAGGTAGGTACTATCGATGCATTTTTTTTTTTTTTCAGATAGATATAACTATAATTATTGAATATTGAAACTGCATTGATAAAATAGTTATGGCAACGTTGCATGGTAGTTTTGTTTGTGATTAAGTGCAGTGCATAGATAAATTAATATTAATTTATCTATGGTGCAGTGACCAGTGACTGCACTGGAAAAATTATCCGGCCTCCTTCAATGTTTGTTGAATGACAAATGTTTACCATAATTTTCTTTTTTGTAAAAACAAAAACACACCCACGAACAAACAAGACCTGGTTTCCGATATCAACATCTATTTATAGCATTACACAGCCGGGATTAGCCGACTCAAGTCATAACTATTTACTATTTACGTGTTGTTTGAATGTATATTTAGTTACATCAATACATGCCAGTAATTTTCCATTCTCGTTCGCCAAATATATTTGATGACGAAGTCGGATAGCTTTGAATACAAAAACAATTTTCCTGTCCCGGCGTTCTGTCGCCTAAACTTATATATTCCTAGGTATTTATATTATTAAAAAACAAGTTAGCTACTACTAAAAATACTTTGAAAATGCAAGAATGTAAAATATAAGGAAGCCAAAACCAACAATAATGCGAAAGTTTTATTATCTCTTTAACTAAATGGAAAATATTGCTAATTATAGGAAGCAATTATAAAAATATTAGTACCTACTTATCATTTAATGGCTTGTCATTCAGTAAAAATAACAAGCAACTCATTAACTATTATTATGTAATTATGTTATTCGGAAATAATGGATGAAGATAATAATTTTAGTTGCAAAAAAGTGACTGTTTTCTTTCAAACCAATTATAATTTCAAATTCTGCCATAAAACGTTTCACGTTAAAGTGACTATCTGTCCCGATTTTAATTTTTGTCAAATTAAAATTCGTCGATGGTTTTTGATTTGTCCCGCTTTCTACTTTTCAAAATATGGCCACTTTACATCACGTGAACCTAGAGTGTGAACTTATATAAATATGAAGTGATAAAAAAATGTTTCTAAAGGGTAGGCCATAGAAAAATTCACGCATGTCAAAGCGTTCAATTCTTTTTAAGTGTCATGTTGGGTTGGATTTAATTCAGAGCCGTGCGGTTTCACGGATATTACTATTATCTCTGACGATTTATGGCCGACTTTAGAAACATTTCTGCGAACTCTTTACTAATCAATACTTCAAAATCAAAAATCATAATTTCAAATCAAATAAATTAAAATTAATGACAAATGGATTTTCTCCATATCGAGGCGACTTACTGCGAAAATTGATCAAGATAAATTTTATATTATTTGAGTCAATATGAATATGACAAATTCATTTGTTAAAGGATATACAAAAAAATCAAATCATATTTATACTGCCTGAAAAAACTAAACTCAATCAATATGACTGTCATTTATTTAACAAGCGATTTGGTCATATTAACTCAAATCACATAAAATTTGACTTGGTCGCTTTTTGCAGTAAACCTAGGATATTATGCAAAAACGGATGTTTGGAGCAGATTAATTAGATATAAATAAATTTATTGATTACACTTACCGATCTATTACACATTATTTCTTGATGGATATCTACCTACACAATTTCCTACACTATTAGAAAATCTAAAAATAGGCTTAGATTAATTAGTAAAACGTAATATAGTGCTTTTTAATAATTTATTTTATTTCAGAGTATATAATTGAATATTTGATAAGATAATAATAATTTAAATCACAAAATCACCAATACTATCGTCATCATTACATAAAAATAATATTTCAGCTAGTTATTGTACATGAATTCGTTAGATATTGTTTCCATTACTTTAATATTTTTTTACGGAATGCTCTGCTGACATTCTGAGGACTGTGTATTTTTAAGAAATTTATGTCTCTAAAAATTACATCTCCCTCCAAAATATAACATGTGATCAAAAAGAAAATGTTTCTAAAGTAGGCCACGAATGACAAAGACAGATATATAGGAGCAGAGCCCCTGATAACTACATGAAATCCAAAGTCTCATTAGAAGATGCCTTTTTTTATTCCTAGGCCTATAGGTCTTTAGAAGCATTTGTTTTGATCATTTTATACTCTAATATATATTTTTTATAGTAACAATAAGAAGCATAAATCAATGAATATTATTTTAATATATATTTATGTTCTACATCACCTTTTGAAAGAAAAAAGGACCTCTGCAAAAATATATTGAACTAACTCTTCTATGCTTAAATATATCATGAGAACAAAACAAAAATAACATTTAATAGTCCCTTTAACTTTTAAAAGGCAGTGTCTCTACAACTTCAACTTACAATTAATTTTTTTGCAGTCTTTTCGTTAAACAAATAATAAAATCTCGATTGAGAACAATGTGTTCTCAAAACCAATACATACTTTTAACAGATTGTGTCAATGATAACCTATTTTCCAACTATACTGTAGAAAAGAACATCAATAAAAGATTAATTATTACTGTAAATATATAAAATACAAACAGCTCTGTCTTTATAGGAAGCCATGTTTTTAAATCCATAAAAATATTTGTAATAAACTGATTTAATTATCTATATTGATAAATAGCCTAGGTATTTATTAGTAAATCTAAATTTATTTGAGGACATCATACCTTTTAAATCATTAGAAATGTGTTTGGTATAAAGATTGTTCCGTGTCATGACAATATTGAAGAAGGTAATTACTTAAAAAAGAAATAATTTAGTGAACATGTTTATATTAAATTTTAGTCATAAAATAGGCCTTCAATATTGACATGCTATTAATTTAGGAACACTCAGTATATACATCATTAGATAAGTTTTCCTTTATTAGAATTGTTTTTTAGAAATTCCTAATACACCAATATCTTTTAAATTGATTAACAAAATATAGTCTCTAAAATACCTATTTTTTTTTCTTTATTTAACTGCTAGTTTACAAAATCCCTGTATGGAAAAATTAAATTCGGACCACCCTGTATGTTTACTGTTTTTTTATTTAAGAAAAACCTCATTAACTAGTCAGACATTCAAAACAACAGCAGTCAAAACAAAATATTATTTATAAACTAAAATTGTAACAAACATTCACTAGTTATATAGAACCTCACTTCTGAATATTGATTAAGATGTGTTTTTTAAGGAAAGGTTGAGGGAAAGCTTGAAAGTCATTTTGAACTAAACGGTTTAAGGAAATATTAGATCACAAAATCAATCAGAATAATTTTATCATTTGGTAAAAAAAGGAAATTGTGCAAAACTTATTTGTTTATCCTTGTAATTTATGTGTTGTAAAATGGTGTAATTTATTATGTTTAAAAAATATATATTCCAGAGAATGCTATTGGATGATTTGTTTTGTAATAGATAAACTATGATGGGTCATAATTTATTTTTATAACAAAAATAAACATCTAAGTCAAATGTTGTGGCACAAGGATGTCATAATGTTGACTCGCCCTGTATACGTCATGGGTTTTTAAGAAATATGTAACATAATGAACTATTGTTCAATGACAGATTTTTTATATGTATTTCAAATGAAATTGTTTTTCAATTCTATGAGTAAAATGTTAAATTTGCATTTTAATTTTAAAGATTCCCAACATAAAAAATGCATTATACATTCTACAGTAAATATTATTGTTTTATTACCTTTTATTGTGGATTTAAAACATTGGGCAATACCTATTTTTGTTATTAAATTGGATTTACTTCTTAATTAGGCATGAATTTATTATTAGATACCAGAAATTGAATTTTTTATTATTCAAAATTGTCATCATTCTGGTGAGGCTCATCCAACAATTTAGAACCTTCAGTCAGGTCCTCATTTCAAAAAATAATATAGATGGCCAAATAAATTGAGTTGGTTATACATATGTCGTAGTTATCCGATTTTATGTCTTTTCACATATAATTTATAATGTAACAAAAATATAAAATACTTAATTTAATGTAATAAAAAAATATAATTTAAACTGATGTCTGTTAGACATGCCAACCAATTGGTATGAGAATTCAAAAATTCCAATGTCACTGCTGGATTTTGTAAACAACTAGAGGTATATATATATATAACAACTGTTTTTAGATTGTAAAATATTTAGAATTTTTCAACAACTGTGCAGTCGTTTTGGATTGACAATATCGAAAATATGAAAAAGCTAAAGATACAACTACATATCACAGGAACAACAGTTGAATTGCTATACCTGAACATATAAGTGTAGCATTCATAGCCCAGTTAGGTAAACAAATTCTAGTCTTTTCTACTCTTCAAATCAATCTTTGCTAGTTGTAGTAATAGGCGATCCTCTTAGATCTTTCTCTTTTTCTCATGAACTGGTTTTTTCGCTTTCCGAATTGCTTCTCAGCGATTTCTTCAGTTTATCCAACAATCTATTGTGAAACTTGTTCAGATTGGGTTCAGAACCATTCTTAGGGGGCGATGACCCCATGCTCTTGATAGGACTTTGAAGATTGCTTTCGCTTGTTCTGGAACTGGCTCTTGAGTACTGTCTCGATGACGACATATTGGCTGGCACAGAAGCACGGTCTCGTATAGGAGAAGGCACGAATTCTGATCCAGGTGATGTGGATAGGCTTGGACCTTCTGATCGACATTCTGACACTTTTCTAGAACGGCAATTTGTGGCGTTCGAACACTCAGAAACCCTTCTTGAACGATTGGCTTTATAAATATCCCAATCGTTCTTTACGACAGGAATCATAAACGCCATTTTGTTTGTTTATTTTAAGAAACTCCCGAAAAAGAACACTAAATTCAACGATTTCACCAAATGTAAACAAATTGCTAACAACACGTTGCAACTAGAACACAACAATCTCTGACAACAAACTCGAATGCTTTGCTTTCTTGTTCCTCGATTTTTACAGGTACAGGTCGGTGTCTTATGTCATCTGAAACACAATATATCCCCTATAGTAGTGCATCTCACTTGTTAAAGAGTTGGCACTAAGTTTGTAGCGCAAGAATGCGTCTGTGTCTGGCCGCTCAACTAACTCGATATGGCGGTAAATTCAAATATAATTTAAAGGCGAAATTTAAATTTCCCGCCAAAATTGTAAATTTTCAGCCGCGGAATGGCGGGAATTTTTAAATATATTCATTCGGCAATAATTATTGAGAAGTATATTGCATGTTCGATTAAACGAGCTGTAAATCCAGGCGCTATTTTTATTTTGATAGCTAAAAATAATACTAATTCTTTTATTATTAGCTATTAAAATAAGAGCAGCATTTGTATTAACAACACATTTAAAAGAACATGTAATATACTTTTCAATTTTACCTAAATCACTTATTTTTTACCTATAGAGGTTAGATCTAAAAAAAAATTGGCTCTGGAAAAAAAAACAAAACATTGTATAAAGTATTTTATTTGAAAAATTATAAAACTTATTTAATATATTTTAAAGACGAAGATAACTCTAGCCATATCCATTTTACTGAAAAAAAAAAAAAAAGAAACTATTAAATGAAATCATTTAGTTATTAAGAGATGTTTGTGGTAATACAGTGGCAGCTATCGAATGTTGTACAATACGTTTTGCTAATGTCCAAGTAAAAACTACAAAGAGTTAGCATTAGTGGGAGAAGGAATAGAATACTATGAACGTAGCCAGCCGGCTACGTGGGGATGCATCACACCGTGTGCCTGTTCATATTACACAGCACACAAGGCAACATTCATATTATTCGTTTCCTGATCGAACTAATGCGCTAACTCTTTAGTTTTATTTTCGATTCTAGCCAAGCGTATTGGAAAGTGTTCATTAGCCGATGCTGTATATAAATGCTAAAATCAATAAGTGAAATAAAAAAATTTAGTTTAAATGGACATCTACTTCGAAAAAAGTAAATTATTATACTTGAATTTTAAAGGCTGTTGCCACTGGAAAACTATTATCTAGGGCTTGGATGACAGCCATAGGACTCCCTCCTTGAATCGTGTCCATAGGAAAGCATAAGATCATAGTTAAATTATAATATTAAGAGGGTAGGTATTAACTGAAAAATTATTACAAACTTGCCTCAAAATTGGCAACTACATTAAAAGAAGGGAAAACGGAAACATAAAATTGTTATACTTGAATTTTAAAGGCTTTACCCACTGGAAAAGTATTATCTAGGGCGCAGACCCTTGGATGACAGCCATAGATAGCAATCCCTCCTCGATTCCTCTTTTTCTGAGTTTGTTGTACGTTTTGTTTCCCATATTAAATAAGAAAGCACTTAATACAACAACACAAATCACAATAAATATCGCTGAAACAAAATTAATATTAAATTTCGTAGAAGAAAAAATCAAAAAATTATCACTTGTCAACACTGACACTTCACGCTTCACTTATAAAAACTCAACGCTAAAGAATGAAAGATGATTCGAAATAGAAATTATTAACTGGTATCTCTTTCTTTTATAAGTATCTAAACAAAGAGAAGGAGTGGGAGTGAGTAACGCTCCGATCAGATTGTTTTGAATTCGTCGTCAACCAATGAACGTGCCGAAGTCAAAAATCAATAACGATACTAGCGCCATGAGACCTGTGTCTGGCCGCAGCGTAACTCAAAGCCATTTCTTGAATCCCAGTTACATTACTATAGGGGATATATTGTGATCTGAAATACCACGTCCACTACGTCGGTACAACGAGCTTTGTTATTGGTAGAAAAACGAGGTGGGGGATTTTTGTCTTATGATTTCCAATAACAAAACGCACATGTGAATCGTCACGTCCACCATTTAAAAAGAAATCGATAACAGCGAAAATGCGCATTTGAATATTATCTAAAGGCTGTATGTCACGATACTAAATTAAGTACTAAATTTAGCACTAAATTAAGTTATTAATTTAGTACTAAATTTAGAACTAAAAATTTTTTTTTCCGTTTGCAACGATAACAATTTTTAGTACTAAATTTACTATAGGCGCAGGCGCATTGACGTATTAATACGTAAAATTAACAGAGAAATGAAATATTATGTGTAAAACAGACAAGTAAATGGTGTTTTTATTATCAATTTGACACTAGTTGACTTGACAACAACCAAATACAGCATAAAAACCACGAAAAAAAACACAATAAAACCTACAAAATCAAACAAGCGAACTTTATTCAAGGCGATAATGTAAAATTGTCGCTAATTAAAAATAAAAGGGTACAGAAAATACCGTCGTGTCAACTTTTTCTATGAAAAACTTCTGCGCAACATTTCGGCGCACTTTTAGTACTTAATTAATGACTTTTTTTAGCACTAAATTTAGTACTAAATTTGCTGTTTGCAACGTGAATTTTTTTAGTACTTAAAAAATGCATTAATTTAGTTCTAAATTTAGTACTTAATTTAGTATCGTGACATACAGCCTTAATACGTAATAATAATTTGCGTGCCTAGAATTTTTTAAATAAAATTATGTTGGTGTTACGAATCAATTCCAAAAAGGCCGTAATACTTGTAAAACGTACCTATTTAAAATCAAAATAAGGTTATATAAATAAAACATCGACAACATGATCAACAATAAATAAATTGCGAATCGATTTTATCCGGTTGAATCGAAGTTGATAGTAGTAGTAGTAATCGAAAAAACAAGAGACCCAAAGCTGGGTTGTCTCTGCCCAAACCTTTGAATATAAATACTCTATTTATATTCAAAGGCCCAAACACACGTATTTTATATTTTACTATTTTTACTTTTACACCAAAATAGCCAAAATACCGAATTCATGACGCAAATGTCCATGATGATCACACATGTGACGATGATCGATAAAATCAATAACACAAGTCATAATTCATTAATGTTCGTGACAATCTTATATTAAAATAATATTGATAAAAAAACAAAATCATGATACAGCAAATTTAATTCATATTTTGTAGCTGTAGGCATTCCAAACAAAAGAACTGTTGGTGGGAAGGGTTTGTATGTCTGGAGGGTTGCGACATACGATTTTATTCTATAATACGTGAAATGAATAACGGATTAAATTTAAATATTTTAAGTTGAACACAATGAAAATATTATTTAAAAAAAACCGCTTATACATTTTTCATAAATTGGAAGGATTGGCGCACGGTTCGTAGACAATACGGTGGTCTCGTTCGGTTGGTAGGAACGAGGGTGTGACGTCACAGAATGAAAAATCGAGGTGACGAAAATATTTTGCTGCGGTTCGTACATTATTTTTTTAAAAATCTAATATTTTATTAATATTTAGTGGTGTTTATTAAGCTATTGCATAGCTTTTATCGCGGGCTTTGAGCGCGGCGACGGAATAAAAAAAAAACGAAACCGTAACGAAAAAAAACCTAACACCCCCCCACTCCGACCGGCACAGCGGTGCGGCGTTAAACAATATTAACTTCTCATTTATTCAATAAAAGAAAATCGAAAACTCGAAAAATCGAAAGGTCGAAAGATCGAAAAATCCAAAAATCGAAAAATCGAAAAACCGAAAAATCTAAAAAGAAATTCCGTAACGAAAATAAACCTAACACCCCCACTCCGGCCGGCACAGCATGCGGCGTTGAATGCCGTGCATCGTCTAACGTCGTTTCAGTTCGGCAGACTTCGGCACGGTGTTTGTGTGCGTGCGACTAGACGTATGCGTGTAGACTAGCTGCTAAAACTGCTCATAACTGATTCTATCTCTTTTAGACACAATTTCGGAAAAATTGAATTTGAAAATGAATAATGATCTTCAACAAAATATGGACCACCATTGACGCGGTATTTTCCAGATAATTAGAGGATATCAAGTCTCAAACTTATGTTTCTTATTTCAGTTACCATAAACCTATAGTTCCAATGATAAAAATTCCTGAATAGCCTACATGTATTGTAAGATAATAAAAATATTTTAGACAATATTAACTTCTCAATCATTCAATAAAAGAAAAAAAAGTGGTTTCTTATCGGTCACCACGCTCAAAAAGTCTAACTTGAATTAATATCAAAGAAAAAACTTGAATTAATATCAAAGAAAAAATACTGCATAAATAAAATAAATAAATAATTAGGTATAATTATTGCATAAGTGCTATGCAATAGCTTTACCGCGGCAGTCCCCGAGTGTCACACGTATTTTTATTTTTGGACTATTTACTAGTGTTAGTAATATGATTTTTTGATAGATAAGCTTTTTGCAACGAAAAATAATGTAATGATTTCCATAAAATTTCAAATGTTTTACTTTTTACTTTCCTATCTGTATACAGATAAGGAAAGTATAGGAATCATGATTTTTTCGACCTCGAGTTTTCGACGCATTTTTACGTTTTGGGGTTCCCTGAATCCGTTTTGACTATTTTCACGATGATGTCTGTATGTGTGTGTCTGTCCCTAGACAGCACACCAAATCCTTTGTATATCTACTGGACATCCCAATATCCACTGAATGTCCAGTCCATGGTGGGTATCTATTTTATATCCGTAATTTATAGACATGCAAATGTCCATAAATAATAGTAATTATATAGCAAATTATTAAAAAATTACGCCATTGTGACTAATAGTACCGTTCAGATATTTAAAATTAATTTTTTTAAGGTGTATTCAATATCCCGCATGGACATCCACTAAATATATCAAAGTCTAGGCGCGAACGCAAACCATGGTGGATATATATCCACTAGATGTAGTTTTTGATTTTGCTTACTAAGTATAGATGGCGATACCACTTTCGCTCGTTGAATATCCTACTCATGCT